CCGGCTTACAGATCTTAGCTCATGGACGTAACCAAGGCGGAGGCGGAGGCGTGCGGGAGGGGGCTTGGGCCATGGGCACCCTGAACCATGACGCTCACACTAAAACACGGTGCGATTTCGCATGCATGCGATCCGTATTTGCAGGAGTACGGTTCAGGCACGCGATCCGTATTTGCAGGAGTACGGTTCAGGCACGCGATCCATATTTGCAGGAGTGCAGCTCAGGCGCGCGATCCATATTTGCAGGAGTGCGGCTCAGGCACGCGATCCATATTTGCAGGAGTGCGGCTCACATTCGCAGGAGTTTGGAGAGGATCTGACGAGTGCAGAGCTAGCGACGCCAAAAGGGCCGACTGTTCCCACGGCAAGTCAGACGGGAACCTCTTTAAGAAGCTAAACTCCGACCACCTGAATCGTTTTGTTTTCGTTATTTCGACTGGCACAGATGGCATGCACGGCGAAATTTGTCCATCGGCACAGCGCACACCTTGTGTGGCCAGGATTCTGCGCCGAAGAAACCGAAGTGTTTTAGAGCACAACAGCATCTCGTGCTTGCAGGTCACTTTATAGAATCTTATATTAAATGCTGTGCATTGGACTCATTTGCCCCGACCGCCTGCCATACATGATCGCGAAGTGAGTATGACGCCCGGGACAGTGGGATGCCGCCCGGGGCAGTGAGACGCCGCCCGGGGCAGTGAGGTACCGCCCGGGACAGTGAGATGCCGCCCGGGGCAGTGAGATGCCGCCCGGGGCAGTGAGGTACCGCCCGGGGCAGTGAGGTGCCGCCCAGGACAGTGAGGTACCGCCCGGGGTAGTGAGGTGTCGCCCAGGACAGTGAGGTGCCGCCCGGGGCAGTGAGATGCCGCCCGGGGCAGTGAGGTACCGCCCGGGGCAGTGAGATGCCTCCCGGGGCAGTGAGGTACCGCCCGGGGCAGTGAGGTGCCGCCCAGGACAGTGAGGTACCGCCCGGGGCAGTGAGGTACCGCCCGGGGCAGTGAGGTACCGCCCGGGACAGTGAGATGCCGCCCGGGGCAGTGAGGTACCGCCCGGGACAGTGAGATGACGCCCGGGGCAGTGAGGTACCGCCCGGGGCAGTGAGATGCCGCCCGGGGCAGTGAGGTACCGCCCGGGGCAGTGAGGTGCCGCCCAGGACAGTGAGGTACCGCCCGGGGCAGTGAGGTGTCGCCCAGGACAGTGAGGTGCCGCCCGGGGCAGTGAGGTGCCACCCGGGGCAGTGAGGTGCCGCCCGGGACAGTGAGGTGCCGCCCGGGGCAGTGAGGTACCGCCCGGGGCAGTGAGGTGTCGCCCGGGGCAGTGAGGTGTCGCCCGGGACAGTGAGGTGTCGCCCGGGGCAGTGAGGTGCCGCCCGGGGCAGTGAGGTGCCGCCAGGACAGTGTTCGCATTTTCAAAGGCCGGCTCTTCACGAGCAAAACCAAGCACGCTCGTCATAAGGGAGAAGCCAATTCAGTGAGCACATGACCTGCGACGTACCTGATGGACTTACATCGTCGAATTTTATTCTGTGCACGAATCAATGACATACAGTACACAGCATTGCTTACCAACGGACAACAAGAATTGAAAGACATGGACATTGGGCGTACATAGATATGTGATCGCAACACTTGTACACAGAGCACTTGATAGTGATTAAATCGTATAATAATTCTGCAAGTAGTCCCCAACCCAGTAACGGCGTAAAATAACAAGTTATGACTGTACCATGACCGCACTTCATGTTTTAAATTTGAATCAGCTAACTCCGCTTGCTGCCACAGTTGAGCTTATCCAATTGTCGTTGAGTGCACTCATGCCGCTGCTCCCAGGGCACCAAGTGTTTGCAGCCCTGTATTATATTTGTCGGTAGAAAAAGGGTCCCTGACCAGTCCACAGTGAATGCTGTGTATGTGTTAGAGACAGACAGTGCCGCCCATTCGAGGATTCGAACCCAAGGACAACAGAAAAGTCCCCAGTCCTCTCTCAGCGTCCTCGGAGACGGCAATGTGAGGACACGTTGCAGCAGATAATGTGAGGTTCGTCCGCAGAAAAAAAAACACGACAAATCTACAGATCCGAAAGCCCGATATGCGCGTTTAAACGCGCGGGAAAAGCGAACACGCACGAGAAATATGGCATGCACGTGAAAATATTATATGCAAGGGCAAGTTACAGAACAGAATGGCATCCGGCAGCGCGTCACATCGGTGGTATGATCCCAATCCTGTTACTGTCTGTGTAACCGCGTCACAGACATGACTCCGACATCGCAACGTTAACGCTGGTCCTTTGCTGACTGATCTGCCGCCGAACGCTAGTCTGTGCTGGCGTTAAGGTGCTGGCTCCAGGCAACAGAATCGTATGCAATGAACTTACATGCGGCTTTTGCCCGTCTAATACACGGTACATTTTGACCAATACGAGAATTTCACGGCGACCACATTTGGATGCAGTTCGTGGTAAGCCTGTGTGTAGCTGCAAGACGAACTAACTGTCCATGCATTCAACGATGAGACGCTTCGAGCCACTGTGAGCCGTCGCCTGGGCTGCAATGGCGACAGCGCCAGACATTGTCGATGTGTGAATGATGTGATTGATTACGTCTAGTCCGCAGCTGATCATTTCGCCACAATAATCCCAAATGTAAATCATCCAGAACGGTTGGCGCATTCGTTAGTTATACGTAAACCTACCGCCTGCGTGCCATGCCTAGACCCTTATAAGTCTACGTTGGGTGCGTTTGAGCGCGGCGCGATTTCTTGTCATGTGCGACAGCTGGGCCCGGCATGAGTTGTTGTCATGTGCGACAGTTGAGCCCGGCGTGAGTTGTTGTCATATGCGACAGGTGAGTCCGCCGCGAGTTGTCACGTGCGACATTTGAGTCCGTCGCGAGTTGCTGTCATGTGCGACAGTTAAGCCCGTTGCGAGTTGTCATGTATGACAGTTGAGCCCGGTTTGAGTTGGTGTCATGTGCGACAGTTGAGCCCGTCGCGAGTTGTCATGTATGACAGTTGAGGCCGGCCCGATTTGTTGTCATATGCGACAGTTGACCCCGGCCCGAGTTGTCACGTGCACAGTTGAGCCCGGTCCGAGTTGTTGTCATCTGTGGCAGTTGAGCCCGCCGCCCGTTGTCATGTGCGACTGTTGAGCCCGTCGCGAGATGTTTTCATGTGACGTGCAGAACGCCACGCAGTGTTGCCATGCACAAGACAAGCAAGCGCCCAGGACATACGCGCGTGTTCCCCAATGTTCTCGAACTTTAACATCATACCGGCAACGAATGGGGGGAATGGGCCGAAAATACCGCGTGTTCCCTACCTACAATTTGCGGTAACGCCCTTCCACGATGTTGTGGTCCGCTCGCGACCTCGGAGAAGTGCAATGCTTTTGGGGGGCTCTTCAGGCCTTCCGGCATCACGTTGCAGTGTATTTAGTTCCAAAGCTGGAGTACAGCCAGCCCAAATCATGACATCAGCGAACAGGAACGTCGCGGTTCAGGAGTGTAGTTTCCTGTTCAGGTCGAGGGGAGGGCTCCAGCCCCCTCCCCCGCCAACTTTGAGGAGAAGGTGAGAAAACAGACACCACTCCACCTTTCACTGCTCCTCCAAACTTATTTTGCGAAACTCCACCCATGTCGCAGCTCCTTTCAACGCCTGACGAAGGCTTAAGCAATGAGAGGGTCGCATCTAAGCGCTCTCTGTCGCACCACAGTAAGGGAACACGGACATGCCACCAGCGACCCGGAACGGGCGGCTGAATCAGCTGGCGCAAGAAATAGCCGAGTCAAAGGAGCTCAGGAATAAAAAAAACACCACTCCAGGGAGCATTGTTCCCGAGTTGTTGTTGCTGTTTTTTAGAGCACGTCTTTCGCTCATCCTGTTCACTCTTGGCATCGTGCGGCGAATTATCATCAAATGTTTTCCCATAGGACGGCATTCCTTCGCCTTCTTCATTCTGCTCTGCGTCAGGCATGTTCAAGACGGAGCGACACCCGGCTGTGATGTCGGATGGCTCTATCACGTGCACTGGACAGGCTGTCCGGACAGGCGGTGCCTGTGCAGTGGTATATATTGGCACAAAGCCGACATGCGAAAGGATTTCATTGACTTTTCGATGCACAGGAGCGTATGCAGGATTTCACAGTCAGTAGAGGGGGGGGGGGGGGGGGGTACAATTCAATGTTTTTCTGAAAAGCCCATTTAAGCGCGCGGTAGGCACCCAAATTGTTTCATGACTTGGAGCAACATTGCATGTCAGTTTACTTTTTTCACCTGAACATCCTCATTTTATAGCGGTTGACTTAAATCGCATCGATAGGTAAAACGCATGCACAAATTGCTGATGGGCCTCTCTCTCTCTCTCCCTCTCTCTCTCTCCAATACAACCCCATGCTGACTGCATCGCACCTAATGGTGTGCAGCCAAAACGGCCGGCCTTCCATCACCCTTCAAGGCTTCCTGCACTGTTCCGTGTGTCTACGAGACATGAACATTCAATGTTCATGCTAATTAACTGCATAAGTGACCACGGCGCCGCACTTGCAGGATTCTTTCCAACTGCGACAGCTCTTATGGACGGGGTTTAACGACTGCGCGGTAAAAGTGCTTTCCACGGGGTGTTGAGATTGCGGCTGTGCACTCCGTGTGCTTTCACTGCGAACGTCAGGTCCTCCCGGACCATGCACCGGCGTCCACCTGCGACCGTTCGGAGCGCGCCAACCGGCGGCGGTGGCGCGAATTCTGGCTGGGTTCCGCACAGCTTCCGCCACGGCGTGCGCGAGCTCGCCCCGCGCGACCCGCGGGGTGTGTCACATTTCGGCTCGACATGACCCCAGGACCCTCCGGCTCGCCGGCGCCGGCCGTACCACTCCCAGACACCACGCTGCCCGGGCCGACCCGCCCACAACAAGCCAGCGCACTGTAGGGGGGGGGGGGGGGGGGGGGGGGGGGGCGGGGGTCAGAAGCCGCCGCCGCCGCCGCCTCTCGCCCTCAGGGTCTCACCTGCGGGGAACATGGGACCCATCCTGTGGGCCATGGACCTGGCGCGGCGGCGGTCAGCTGCTCGCAGATCGCTCGGCGCGCGGGCGCAGTGCCTGTCCACGACACGCCGCGGCGGTGCAGGACACTGCTCGCGCGCCGGCCGGCCACGCCGACTGCTCATGCCGAACTCCATGACCTTGAGCAAGGTGACGTCACCGGCGGGCGCCGCCAGCCAATCAGCGGCGGCGCGGGCTACGGACGGACTGCCAGGGGGCGGCTTCCGACGCGAGCTGGCTGCACGTTGGGAGGGGGACGGGGCTCGACGCGGTCGCCTCGAGGGGTGGGGGACACGACGGGAGTACCGCACCTCTCACGAGCTCGCCAGTTCTCTGCCGACTCCGCCTCAGCCGCCCGTTGGCTGGCCCCAGTTGCACGTTTGTTGTCATGCGGGAGCTCCGGCAGTGGCCGCCAGGCGGCAGGCCGAGCAGGCGCCGTCGCCAGTGGTTTCGGATGACAGGCGACAGCAGCAGGGCGGCACCCCGATGCTGGGGGCGGGGAGACGGGAGAGGCCCGCACCCTCAGCCCTGGTCCGGGCAAGGGAGACCGGCCACACGTCGCAGCTGAGCCGAGGGGAGAGACAGTCGAGCGGGAGACGGGGTACATCGCGCCATGCCTCGGGACGGCCGAATAACAGACCACTGATCTCCTTCGGATTGGTTTTCGGAGCGTCGACACGGTATTCGATGCTGCGTCCCCCTAAGGTTCGGTACTGGACTCTCCCTTGAGAAAGTGAGGAATTCCAGCCTGCGCTGGGCTGGGTGGTCCGACGAAGCGGAGAAGACACCCACCCCACTGCGCGTGCTTGTGCGGGCGGAGGTGCAGATACTAGCTGGTCGTGGTTTAACAGGGGTGTCTGTCCTGGGAGCGTTCAATGCAGCTTTTAAGTCCCGTCCATTAACAAGGTTACAGGGCACAATGAACGATAATGGTGGTATCTCTCGGTTTTAATTTACCCGTTGGATTGCAGGATAGAACCCCTGATAACTTGACGCTCTTGGCATCTGAGCTAATGATAGCGACGAACTAAATCGATTTCTCTCGACTCAATATGAAATCAATGATGATGCACCAGAGACTCAGAGTGGTACATGACCGAGGGCGAAAAGACGATAACTATTCTCACGGAGAATACGGGGTATCCCAGGACCCACTAGCTCAGAATTCACTGAAAGTGTGTAGCAATCATGCAGCCTGCCTCAGGTAGTCTGAAGAACACATGTATGATAGGAACGAGGTCTTCTTAGCTTGAAGGCTTGAACACGGCTTGAACCTGACATCAAAGAGTACGTCAGTCGTGCCTAGAAGAGTGCATTTTCTGACGCTACAACCGCCAGTTGGAGCTCGCGAGACATTCCGGTCGAAAGGAACCGTGGTCCGAGAGAAAGGAGCCCAGGGTGCTTTCCGACCGCGAGCTCCTGGTAGCTTCCTGGTTGGTAGGTGGGCTACTGGGGGTAGGGAATGTAGGAGGAATTGTGCCAGTACGAGAATGATAAGGGTTAACCGATTAATAAGGAAGACCAATTAATGAGCCTGGTGACATATCAGGAGGTGCACCCGCCGGTTATTTTAAACACGAGAAAAACATCACGTAGTTGCGGGTCGTGCATAGAGGGCAACGGAGATAGGAGGTAGATGGGACAAGTGTACGTTTTCTCCCTCTCAAAAATATGCCTTTTGCCCAAGCAGTGGCTCACATGGATCACCGAGGCTCCGATCGAGGAGGCCCTCGTAGCTGAACTAGGGGGTGCTAAATCGGTCTCAAAAGCCTTATTCATCAGGAGGCCTGTTTTACGGATCATGGACCGCCTTTGGGAATTAAGTACCCCATGGCTCCATTGGCTTCATTGGATAACATGGCTATTCCTTCATTGGCTCGGGAGGTAACTGTTGTAAACTGGGAGGCCCCCATTATGAATTAAGGGTCCCCGTTATTAATCAAGAGGCCCGTTTTTAACTTAGAGGCTTCATTGTAAGCTAGGAGGCCCGTTATGGACTGCAGCTCCCCCCCCCCCCCCCCCGTTATGAACTAGAATACTTCCATTATTTACTAGGGGACCCCACCATGACCTAGGAGATCCCCTTAAACTAGAATGCCCCTGTTAGGAGTTAGGAGGCCCGGGGGTTTGGGCCTGGAGACCCATTATAAACCAGGAGGCCCCAGTATAAGCTCGAAGGCCCCTTTATGGACTAGGGGGGGCCGTCATGAGCTAGGAGTCACCCGTTGTGAACTAGAAGGCCTCGTCATGAATGAAGGCGTCCCGTTATGAATTAGTAGGCCCCTGAATAAGCTAGGAGGCCCGTTATGAACTCGTAGACCTTGTTATGAACTAGAAGGCCCCGTTATGAACCAGGAGGCTCCTATTATGAACTGGAAGGCATTGTTATAGGTTAGGAGGTGCTTATATATATATATATATATATATATATATATATATATAAGTCCCTTTTCTGGAACAAGAGCCTCTTTCATGTATCAGCAGGCCTATAGCCAGACGACACCATCAGGGTGCGTTAATGAACTAACAAATATAACAAATAATGAACTAATAATTATGATACCGTGTGTAAAGAAGATCCATTTTTGCTGACTGACACAGTGGCATTTTCGGCTTAATCCACGCTGGTTTGGACGAGTTGTTAGCACCTTGGGCAGGGTGAGCCGCTTGGGGCGGGGGAGATACAAAGTCGGGGTAAAAGACGCAAGAGAAACAATGTAAACGTGTTGTCTTACGTATGCTCAATGACGCATGCTAGTTGTGAACACAGCGTGACAACGACAGACCAAAACAACGAACGGACCAAATGATGTCATTTGGAAAGATGGCATATTCTCTTTTGAATCTGCTTGGTGCAGATAATATTCTGTGTAAGACCGCGTGTTGGAAACTAGCTGACTCATGAACAGTATGGATGCACCTGCTATGTACAAAGCGAGGACATGCATGGATAGGACTGACTTCCGGTTCTCTTTCCCTCCTCAGGCTGTTGGCCTCAGAATCGGCAAAGCTTAAGAAGGCTTGAAGGGTCGTGCACCAAGCTCTGAATTTGTAGGTCTGTTCCAAAAATGTGGCCACAATCGGACAAAGTCTGTTCCTAAATACATGAATGCTTGCTGTATGGACATGTAGTTGGCAATATCGTGTGGATGGTGGCATCTACATTTAGTTATTGAGCCTTCATTTAAAACCAGCTGCATTAATATACCATGGCAATTTGACCGCCTAGGTCAGTTGGAGTGTCAGAATTCACATATCTTTCGCAACTGTGCCTTCATGCGTGTAAAGATGAAAAGTAATTTTGAAGACACTGGGTTTGGGTCCCGCCACCCCAGTTGTCCATTTGACGCTACGCGACTGATGGTGCTCATCCCTTGCTAAGACCTACACTTTTACCAGGTCAGATTAGGTCAGGTCCCGATCGGTCACTGGACGTTCGCGTTAAGCCTAAGATTTGTTTAGATTGCCATTCGTAAGCATTGATCGCAGCGTGGTTCTGTCGGCTCCGCAGGTTTGCGCCCTTCACAGAACGGCTCTGTCGGCTCCGCAGGTTTGCGCCCTTCACAGAACAGCTCTGTCGGCTCCGCAGGTTTGCGCCCTTCACAGAACGGCTCTGTCGGCTCCGCAGGTTTGCGTCCTTCACAGGGCGGTTCTGTCGGTTCCGCAGGTTTGCGTCCTTCACAGAACGGCTCTGTCGGTTCCGCAGGTTTGCGTCCTTCACAGGGCAGTTCTGTCGGCTCCACAGGTTTGCGTCCTTCACAGACTAAGTCGCCCGTCGCTTGCATGGCTATCTCGGCGACCTTTTTTGTGTGAATTCGTAGCTGATGGCTGCAGCATTATGGCATCCATCGAGACAACATTGTCCTGTGTGCCTAACCAGACTAAACGAAGCGGTCTCTGCTGATGTATTCATGGCGAGTGTAATCATTTGGTACATATGGTTTAACATTCCAACAGCTGATAAGTGAATGCTAATTTTAAAAATACATCGCGTTAGCGAACAAAGAAAAAAACAGGAAAATTGCAAGAAAACGGAAGGTAACACTGCCGAGACGATTTTAGAGCGGATGACGTTATGGGTACGATTTCCCGTGCCAGCTTAACCCGGTACCCCTGGGGCTGTGCTTGTGCCTTTATTCAAACAATGGTTGCGTATTCCCAACCAGACTTGTGTAACTTGAGTGACATTTTTCGCTCAACAGACAACAATTTTTAGCTCAGTGACCCCTTTCATGATTTGTTTCGTCAATTTTGATACCCACTGACTCAGAAAGAACAAAACAACGGGAGAAGTTACCACGTCTAAAAATGTCCACTTAATTCAAAGTGAGCGCCCTAATAAATGACCATTTCAGCCAATGCCCTTCCGCGTAACATGTGAATCCGAACTCCAGGCCACTGGCCTCAAGCCTTCAGCGGAGCGCAAGTCAGCAGCTTCGAACGGGAGAATACGAAGCCCAAGACGACCCATCAGTTTAAAATCACAAGGCTGGAGCCGAAGCCGAACCTAGTATGCAGGATTATTTTTGAGCAAACTATTTTCCAGGCTGCTTTTCTTTTCGGGGACAAAGCGTATAATCAGTGTTATAAGGAATGGCTATGACGAGGTGTTGACATTGCGGATGTTAAAAAATTACCAATATCGTCTCCGTCACGTGCGCTGGCATACACACCACGCTCCGCATCGTTAGTCCTGCGGTCGTCGACAGGTGTCACTTGGTCCAGAGATGGCTCTATGTGTCACAAGCCTGTAGACAAGATGTGAACGCACGTTTTTACGACGTAAAGTCGCGGCTGCAGTGAAAAATTACAAGTGACGAAGCCGAAGATAGCAGTTCAAAATCGCACGAGGTCGAAGCTATCAGGGGCACAGACAGAGGGAGGTCGGGTTTGCAGTCAGGCCTATAATTCAAAGATCGTCCGAAACCGAAGCCGGAACCTGGTGTTAAAATGACACAAAGCCGAAGCCAGCCGTGAAAATTTCAGATGTAGAAGCCGAACCTGAAACCAATGAAAGTAAACGGCGGCTTGACCAAGCCGCTGCTGAAGCCGGCTCCGGCTTA